GGGTGATTCCGTGAGATTAACCTCCCTTTGTATTTTCTGGGTTTGCTTCCAAGATAAGCGACCGACTATGAATTGCTGACACATTGACGATCTACAGATGCCACAATGCGATTGCAAGAGAAGACCTACCGCTATCCCAGTTTTAGGCGTTTGATGGTGTTTCGGAGCTCAGTGCACCCACACATATTGGAAAAAGTGGAAATTGCTCCAAATGTCAAGCTCTAATGACGAAGCGGGATCTACATTCAAAATGCAATATTTCACGAAGCACATCTTATATCTGCTTCAGAGCAGCCGGAGGGAGTTGACAGTGACATGCTGTTATATAACGCTGCGTTAGGCTAAGACAGAAAGAAGTTAATATTTGCTCTGTACCATCCTGTGGGGTCCATGTCTGGCTCTGGGCATTTGAAGCTTCAAACGAAATTATAATGTTTATTAAAATACGCGAAATATTTCAAATGATATACAATAACCTGAACTTCACATACATAGCTATATGTGATACGTAAAATTAATATTAGTTTTGAAATAAAGTTTTTGTAACTGACACAAAATGCCAAATGTTCGATAAAAACCAAAGGGTTAATAATGATGTTCTGTACGTTGTTCTGAACATAATCTGTGTAAATACCGTGTTTACATAACCCTGGTAGGTTTTACCTGCAAGCATTGTGTCATTTTTGTACGTTTCCTCTCATTAGCGCTGAAAGTCGGGTGTCAGTTTTGACAAAAACACCCAGGTACCGTATTATAAACCAGCTTGAGATTATAGAGAATCGGATTCAACGCGTATTGTGTTTAATTGAGTTTGAAGCGCCTAAAAACATCCGACAATTTCCTCTAAAGAATATTTTTGTTTCAAATATCCAGATGCATGTTTTCTACATATGTAACTCTTGGTACATTAACACTTATATAACAGAGAATTGCGGTATTTTTCTGGGTTATTCTGGTCCTAAACGGCCTCAGATAATTGCGTTCCATGGACATGTATGTTTTCACAATGTGATGTGATTTGAATTCTCATTTCAATACTAGAAACAAGCTTTTCTTTTTGCTAAACAACTTTCAAAAGTTTGAATATGGTCAGGTTTCAAGGAGACGAGTAAGTAGAAGGAAACTGTCAACATACTATCGTTGGCAAGAACCTTGGAATGATGATGCAACGTTACAACTGAATCACATAATCACTGGAGAGGCAACACTGTTCATATTTTGTATTCGACCAGTGTGAAAGTACAGATATGTACCTACTGTTTATTTTACTGTAGCTGCATGTATTTTGTATTTGCCAAACAGCACTATCGCGGATGGATTAAAGAAAAAAACTAACTAAATAAAACAAATAACGGAAACATTATCACGCGGATCTTGCTTAATTAGTGTTGCCAAACTGAACAGCATGCTTCGTTGTCATGATCACTTCTACCTCCAGGAACAACGGGTTCTTATCCACATGTTTTTCCCATAATTGTCATCTACATGATTGGGATTGTCTAAGATCTTTAGCTTTAGGAAGAGAACCGCTACTGTTGTGATACTCTGTCATATAAACCTTGAATTAGATAATGCATTAAAGTTGACAGTCGCTTTGTTTCCAACATCATATCTGTTCAAATATTCATGCCGTCTTATCGTAAAATTTAAAAGATTGAATGAATTTGCGTGCAGGTTACATGGCATTAGTCCAGTAGGAGAATCATATACAGTGAACTGTGGTTACAATGATCCCCAGGTTACCTTGAATTTATAACTTTATAACCTAAATTTCATTTCGACTAAAGAAAGAGTTCGGGATAACATCAGTTCGTAATTTGCTTTAGTTTGTTCGTTATAACCGTGTTCGATGTAGTGTACTGTATACAGCAGAAATTATAAGTATTGTAGTACCAACACTAAAACTGTGTTATGGGTAAGACAGTTCCAAAGGAGAAACGTTTCTTTGATGTTCCTTCAAGATGCATTGTAACAGTATAGTCAATGTGGCGTGGTACACCTTTTGACACATGGGTTTTAATCGCATCACATCTTGGTAGACCTGTAGAGCCTTCTGAAACTTTTTCACAAACAATAACAGCTGCAGTATAGCATGAGCCCTTTCCTGAGCATGCTGAAGATGCAACATTAGAGTTCCAACTTTCTAGACATACATTATTGTGGATCAAGCCCTAATTAAAGAAGACACGTGTACGTAGTGACACTTTGGAAATACGCGCATATCTACTCCTCTCTTTACAGCATCTTCGAAACCCGATATTAAACTTGTTTACCGACAATGTTTCAGCTTAGTCTTTGGCGATATACGGATTCTAGTCCTATCAACGCTTTTAACCACATATAAATCACTACTCTTGGCATTACATACTAACCTGAAGCCATTTCCAAACCCGTTGTAATGATATAATAAGAGATCACGTCGGAGATTAGGCATACAAAGTCCTCTAAGGGTCTTCTTGAAGAAGGTTCAGATTATCAAATGCTTTTAAGCAAACACTGCCATGGGTCGTGTACTTTCTTTATAACCCGAGTTTCATGTATAACGACCGTCATACTATAGGTGCTCATCGCCTTATCCCTGGTGGAGTTTTATAGAGAACTATAGAGGCTGCTATTGCGTCCGTGTTTATGTTTTAAGTACAATACTGAATATAGATTGAGCACGTAGACGGTAGTATCGGTTGAACAGCCCTTCAAAGCACTCTTGGTTGCAGCATTGTGTAGAGATAACGAAGAAGGTCGAATGCTTGTCTTTATGGCTGGTACATTGCGTAACCACGCGTTCGATAGCCTGAATATAGGAAAATGAGGTTCAACATTTTCCTACGTTCCTACGTACGGTCATGTAGAATTTGAATTAAGCGGCAAAAACATTTCATTTCAGTAATAAGTTATAATATCTGTCTCATTCAATTTAGGATATGCGGATCGGTATCTCCTGTTAAAATTAATTCATTGCTTTTATTGTGTATAATATATTTGAAGGAACTCCATTTAAAGAAAATCATAAGATGTCACTTATAATGTCTGGTTTTACTGCCTTTATACGATTTGATTTTGGATTAGAATAGTTGGTGTCTTATTTCCTGTCGTGTTATTCTCTCACAAAGATTGGTGTGTATTGTATTGCATTCTTGAAGCAGGGCCAGTAGTTCACGTGTTCTCTAACTAAGCCGAGACCAGGCTCGATTCCTCGCACTGGTAGCAATGTGGGAACCACATACATCCGTAGTACCGCGTAGTACAGCTCAGTACCACGTAAAGACTCGTCGAAAACAGGTAGTTTGGAATGGTACAGTTGGGAGTAATGATGCAATTGAGGGAAGCATGTACTGACTTTCACCACAGTAACGAGCGAACTATTATCCCCATCATCTTCAGCGCCAGCTTCATCATCGGTGCCGAGCAACATCGCCGACACCGAGAAGCACGACTGTAATGCAACATTGCAGCCAACACTGCGGGGACGTAGATAAAAGGGTAAAAGGCTGGATCTGTGTAAATATTTACCTGCGGTTTCTGTGACCTATGTAAATATTAACATGATGCGACTGTCGAGGTTGCCTTGATTCATGGTTGCCTTTTCTGGTAAATTGTACATGTAACCAAACACGCCTCTCCACCATTGTAATCTTAACTCCCAATTACTTGTCCAAAGTGTCCACGCAGAACATTCATTTTTATGGTGAATTCATTTCATATCATATCTGGGTAAATTTGTTCACATCACTTCTTCCACGTCTGATTAAGTCCGAAGAGAAATATAATAGATGCGCTGTCTCGTCTGGATCATGATGGGATGAATTTGGTTGCACTTCCCTACACTGTGCGATATATGAGCTCTCTATAGGTCATTAATTAACCGGTTCGGATCAATCTAGCGCCATACTTCGAGCGTGCAATTGACACAGACAAGACAAGAGGCTCTGTGTATTTGCACAGTCAATTTGAGAAATGGGATTATCAATATCTAATTTCTATCATCGTCCATGTGAGAAGGTTTCGGTTTTAATTTCCAACATAAATCAGGAAGCTGATCGATGAAAAGAATATGACATTGGATGGAACTGAACGACCGTTTCCGTAGGCTGTGTAGTATCAACAACACGAAGTGTGTATCGTAGAGAGACAGCGATGTGTCTCTCACGTCTTGACAGCTCGCTCTGTACGGTGTAATTTGTAATTGGAATAAATCTGTAGGAATAAGGAATGCACTATAGATTAAACACGAGATGTTCCATTAAGACAACACAGCACAGTCTATTAACCATACCGGTGTGTAGCAATGGTGCGCTGTTGATGCGATGTTCATGAACAAAGCTATCATTGTCGTTTTTATACATGGTAGAATGATCGCTTTTGTCAACATCATTTACAATGTTGATAGTACCCGCTCCGGTTTGTTACAGATTAGATGAATGTGTGATATGAGAACTGTTTATCTGTAATAAATATCTATTTGTACTTAACAGCAGCTCTATACGTTCCGGTGCAGATTGACCACAGACTACGCAAGTGGTCAAATGGCGATTTGGACAGTATTGATTAGAATATGCCAGGGGAAACAATCTTGATTATTTTTATTACGTTACAATTTCATTCAGTAGAGAAAATCTATCATATATGGTTGTAATTGAAGATTACACAGAGACATCAAGATGAGTCTTTTAATTTACCAATACGTTCGTAGCACCAATTTAGATACACACACAGAATTTAAAAGAAAAGTGTAAAATATGTGACTTCTATTTACGATGTGATCAATGACATAATGACGGATAAAGAAAAGGTAATGTACCCAGTCTATATATTTTTAATGTATACGATGTTCATGCTTAATAATATAGGAATACATACACAGTGATCACTGCAACATGTTGCGCACCTGTATTGTATTAACTTTCCGGCCGTGCCCATCTATACAGATAAGGCCTAACATTTCAGTGTTTCCTAAAGCCGTCGGCAACATCAAAGCAACAGGTGTTAAGCGTTCTACTTACCTGAGTGTTGAGCGAGGCATAGGTGTATCATCACAAACAAGACACACAGCATCTTCGTCGACATCCTTCACCACAGCTTCATCCAAGAGCTCCCTGCTCTTTACAAACGTCCACGAATAAACTTCCAAATCACATTTGTCTTACCATTGACAGAGCAGTCAGCACCTACTTCAATCTAACCAATCTCTGGTTCATAAATCCGACGTAGCGCCCCCTGACGGCGCAGACTGAACGGAGGAAAAGTCTACGCTCTGTCTTTTTTCAGCTATGAAGTTGATACGTGAATTCGCTTGGGTCTTTTAGCACAGATTCGAGAGGCTGTAAATGGAATTGAGAACGCAAAGGAAAAGTCCCGTGCTACAAATCGACGGAGGAAGTCTATATTGTTTCCCTAATGTTCACTTATCGATACAGCCAATATCTCAACGGGAGCGGGCATTGAAGGCACGAGATTGAGTTCTCTCGCTTTCTTCATTTAATCAGGGAGTAATATAAGATTCCAGACTGCAGCCTTGCAAGCTGGGTATGACAGATTGCTCGGAGCAGTCAGCGTGGGAAGACCAAAGGCGTTGCTATCTTTGCACCCGCTTTTGTTTCCCCCAGTAAGAGTGTGCCACGTCACAGTGAAATACTGCACGGGCCTATGCCTCGCCTCTTCCGTCGCCTCGTTATAACGTGCTTATTCTGCCAGCTGTTAGGAGATAAGACCATACTTTGTGAGGTGGAATAACGTTTGCAGATAAAAGACTTGCCGGTTGTATCTTCCGACGCAGAGCATAACGTGCTGACGTTTCCATGACTGGTGCTCAGTGTGGGACCTTCCTAGTTCTAACTGTGAGCGGCAGGAAATTAGCGTTGAATGTCAAATAATTTGAACTGTAGTTACAATATAATACTGATTGAGTTAGGAGTAACTTGGTACTGTAAGTATACTTCACAAATAGATAAATATATATATGAATGAATGAATGAATGAATGTGATACAGTAGATTGTAAGTAAGATGAAACTGAAAACATATATACGTCGATGTGTTGGTCTGTTGATGAAGTCGCCATGTTTCAAGGATGTATAGTTCTCCAAATGTCTCAGTTGTCATGACTTATTTCTGATGCATGTCCTGTTACTCCATTTGTTTCCACTTCAGCTTTCATAACGTAATGGGGTCTCAAATTGTAATGTTTCAGTTGTACGGAGTGCTCTCTTCTAGTAGGAACACACACGAAGTGCTGCGGGCCACAGACGCTTGTACTTCAAAATCTCGCCTTTCATTCTGTTTCAACGGTATATTAATTTAACGTTGATATCTGTTCAAATTGTTTGTATGCATTCTTAGTAATCTATACGAAAATCACATTGAGAATATTAGCATCACTGGTATAGGGACCGCCTCCGTGGTGTAGTGGTTAGAGCGTTCGCCCGGAGTGCGGAAGGTCGCGGGTTCGATCCCCGACCGCGTCATACCAAAAGACGTTAAATTATGGTACTTGTTGGTCCCTGCCTGGCGCTCGGCATTAATGGGTACAACAAGGACTGGTCGGCTCGGAGTCAGTATGATGTGTCTGAGTGGGGTATTCATGCTTCACTGCGGCATGGTATCTCAGCTTCAGTCTGGGCTAGTACAAGCAGCCGCACATACACATACACACGCATGCACGTCGTCATATGAGCGAAATATTCTCAAGCACGACGTTAAACCCAATTCCACCACCACCACCACCACTGGTATAGGTATTTTGCCCCTATTTTAAGAGACCATTCATGCATTATATAAAGACGCAATTCGTGACCCGTCACGCAGTATTAAAGAATCTTGTAAACATAAAAAAAGCAACCTGAAGGTTTCTGAAGCGATTCTGCTTTGTTCGTCTCTATACATCTTTGAGACGATTAATGCATGCTTAAAAGGTGATATGCATTGTCTGGTATGCATGACCAATGTGCAGTTCACCTGCAGTAAAGCAATAGACACAAACACTATTGATTTTACAAAAGAATTAGTTTATGGTAATATCAAGACGTTGAATACACACCAAGAAGATTATGATCCTGGTATAATTACTAATATCACTATTTCATAGTGATTCATAAACACCTGCTCATGGAATGGTTTCGGAGATTTCTTATAATTATAATTTTGTCACTTGTATTTAATTAAATTAAAAGTTTGGAGTAACGAAGTATGTACTAACATTGTCACCGCATCATTTCGCGTCTTATGTCCAGTATTAGACACCTATACCTTAGTGTCTTTGTATACGTCGAGTTCTTACCAGCAGCTTTGTTGTGGACGGTATTGATCCTGCTTGTTGTATTTGTGAATTAAAACTTTCACGCCATCACCACCACCACTACCTCCACGACAGGGAAGTGTCTGCCGAAAGATATTTCATTAGCCGTTAAAGGTAGAAAGTATATATATGACACCAGGTGATTGCGAAAACGATAACCATATCCTGTAAATATATTATAGAATGCCTGCGTACAGTGGACTGGATTCTTTACTTTAACTGCTATTTCTGTGGTAACGGGGCTTCGTAAATTACGGGTTCCGTTACTATGACTACATCATCAGCATTAATGAACTAACCGATTGACGAATCGTCGCTATGAAGTAATGTCCAATGAAAATATGCGTACGCAGAACTCTAACACTTCAATTCCAGACTGGATTATATACTTCCTGTCAAAAGTTTAGACTCACTTAAAACACTCACTATACGTTATGTATACATCGAACATTGATTTCTCCTCTAACTTGACGGAACCAACTGCAAACCTTATGCAGATGAATTGCACGAGGATCATGCATCAAATTGCTGAAAAGCATGTGCAAATATTGTGCACGTGAACAGCTGCGTTGTGGTGTAAAGTTTTGTTAAGAATTCGCCAATTTTTACTGATTTTTATCATTTATTTAACTCAGGACAATAGTCTTTTCAACGTTACAAATTTGGTTTACAATACATCAGTTCATGTGTAAACAGTACCTTTAAACAGTATGCGATATTGTGCAAAATTTAGTTTAGAACATTTGCCTTAAGTAAGTGGCTATATTTACACTAGTGAGTTTAAACCTTTGATAGGAAGAATATCTTACAGACCACCACCATATAGCAGGAATGTTGTTGAATACAGCATTAAACAACAAACAAAAGAAACAAACTCACACTTCAACGTAGAATTACGGTTGTGCTAAAACTACCTAGATTTCAAACAGCTCCCTAGGACCCTTGCGCGAACGTTGTGTGATTAAAGTAACAGCATCATGGACCTCCGTAAAGGTTTCAAAACGTTTTATAGTATTTGTATCAGTGACAATGTTATGTCCGAGTCAATTCCCTATTGTATAATATATGTACCGTATAGTTTCAGGTGACTTGCCCTTGAATGTATTTGTGACGAGTGAAATCCATTTGGTGGGATACTTGGCGCTTGAGTTGTTACATTTCGTAAGCGAGGTATTTGCCCTGTTCCTCCCTGAATCACATTGGTGTCAATAGTGACAAGGAATTTGTGAAATGACGATTTCCTTGGATTCCTCAAAGATTCGATATACACGAATGGTAAAGATGGTAATACAATTACGTCGCTTACTGTGTCTGTGTCTGTGTCTGTCAAAACCGAACATCCACTGACAAGGTGTTGGGCAGTCTCAATAAGTTCATGGCAGCAAAGGGAACGCCTTCTGTTTCACTTTTCAGGCCAGGCGATTTGATCTGAGCTAAGAATTCCGCAGTGTTGCTGTTCTCTCCAACGCAGTGCACGCTCGATGCAATGGTCGTTAACAGAGCCTTCACTTGACAATCAGAGCCTGTGCTGATTTCATATGGCACTTCGCTTGTTTGACATTCGTGTTTGTAACGTACATCAGTACAGAACCGTCGACAAAATCAACATTGACATTGAGATTATGTCACATCTTTGGCACGTTTAAGAAAATGAAGTTTGCAAATGCTTCACATGGATGATGATCAGACAAATAAATGAGTGCAAATTGCAATATAAACTTATGCCACGAAGACCATCCCATTACAGTGGGTAAATATGCGTGATTGCGAAAGAGTGGGGTTTCTGGGATCGTTTGTGTGATATTTATCGTATAATATTTCGTCCAAAAACATCACCGCCACTACCACCACCACCACTACTACTGCCACTACTACCACCACTACTGCTACTAGAACATTATCCTCACACAACTACTACTACCATCATCACCACCATCACCATCACCATCACCATCACCACCTCTACTACTACTACATAGTTATAAATTAAAAACACTTATCGTGCTGCGCTTTTGAAACTCGGTCACACACCGTGATGATCGTGCTTGTAGCGACGAGATGAAACGGGACAAAAATAGAATAATGCCTTGATCTCAAATTTCTAATCAACGACAATCAGATGGAAAGTAAACACAAATCTCCGATGCCTTTGTTTAACATTGGTCATACGTTCTTGAATGACAGTGCCAATTATCCTAAACGTTTTGCAATCCACATTCGGGATTGTTTGGAACAGAAATGTTTGGCAGCGATAAGAATATTCGAGATGTCAAGGAGGCCATAAGCATGAAAATATGCCAGATTTATGTGATCTGCTCATCGTTTCTCAGAATTTAATATTGGAATCTCAACAATGTAAGTATTTGTGTTTGACGTTAAGAGTGCAGTCAGTCAAACTATCAATGTTTTGCCGTGCACTTTACTTCCTCGGCCGGATGCAGTTAAAAGCAATCCTAACTTCTTTCATTTCTTCTCTGCCAACACTATTTGGAAGAAAGGATAGAAAGGATCTGTTTTACCGTCAAGCAGCCGCATTTATGTAACCAAATGTGCATCAGAATGATATTTTGTGCTAGTGAAACAAATACATAAAATATGTCAATCCATATGACACCTTGGACAGAATGAATTGAAAAGAAATATGCACTCTGTGAAGGTTTACGATTATGCTCATTGCCTATCCAAACAGATTAAATATGCATCGATCATTGCGATAATGTTGCCTGTACAATTACCTTTTTGGAACATCCTACTTACTGTACCGTAAACGTTTTAAGCCTTTGGGTGAATTGTCACCTTGACCGTGATGGCGGTTGAGGTTTTCCGGTATGGAAAATAGATATATATTCTAGACCGTAGAGACTGGGTTCCATGCTGTACCTCCTTGTGTGTTTGCATTTTTACTAGTATCAGCGTGGCTTTTTAGAAACATTTGCAGCGCAACATCAACTGAAATTCTCACCCGATGCGTCAAGAATATTTCGCAATCATTTCCTCTTTGTTATGCCTGTGCTGTGTACATTATGCAAGTAGTGTTTGTTACTACACTGTTCATTAAATCGTGCAATACTGGCTTAAGTTTGAAATATGATATCACATTTATGAGATAACTACATGTATTTATCTTGTTATAAAACGATAACATCGACTCGTAACTAGAATAACAGAAAGTATTGCTTTTGTTAAAAAAACAACGCAGGGATTCTAGTGCAGATAAAGCTCATTGGA